GGCCTAATTAATTTTAATCGGGCTTGATTAATTTTAATCGGGTTTAATTAATTTTAATCAAAATTGATTAGTATTGAAATAATAATATTTTTTATTAAACTTTTGTGATAAATTTATATATTATTTTTTTGTGACAAAATTTTTGTGAAAATATTTGTGTTGTAATTATATAAATATCTTTTTTATTTAATATCAATTTTAATAATTAATGACTAAATTTTGCATCATAATTGCATCTGTGACAAATATTTTTTTATGACGAATAAAATTATTATAAATAACTTGTTAACAATATCAATTTTTTTTATCACTATAAAATTATTTTCTGTAACAGGTGTTTAATTTGTCATTAAAAGTATTAGTGACAAGAGTTTTACTACCGGTTTAAATTTTATCACTAATAATAATTTGTGACGAAAAATAAAGATTTAATGATCTAAAATTTAGTCACTAAATGTGGATTTTCTTGTAGTGACATATCATTAAATGAGTTGATACATTTAATATCATAGGTCCCAATTCAATATCATGGGTCCCAATTCAATATCATGGGTCCCAATTCAATATCATAGGTCTCATATGAATAAAAAAAATTAATTATTTAAATGACACATCAAGTTATATCAAAAGATGGTACAAAAAAATTGTCTTAAAATCGTTTCTCAATTTTTTTAGTAATTGGAATTAATATTATATACTAATAAATTGTCCATATTTCATTACTCCTATATATTCCAAAACTATAATCCAGATCTAGATCTAGATTTGAAGATTTGAAGAGAAAATAAAAGGAAAGCATATCACACAAAAAAGGCAGGTAGTTGTCAACATCATGTTTATCTGAAATGAGATTATTTGGGCATTAAATTGGTGAGGATTTTGCTATGCTTTTGGAAAGAAAAAAAAAAAGTCTAGATCTTGGTTAATTTTTATGGGTAGTGCTATTGGGACAACCTTTTTATCCCATCTTTTTGTACAATTTACACATTTCATTAAATGAGTGGATATATTTAATATCACGAGTCTCACATAAATTAAAAGAACTAATTATTTTAATGACACGTTAGGTTATACAAAAAGATGGGATAAAATAGTTGTCCCAATAGCATTTTCCAACTTTTATTCATGAAGTTGAACCTTTCTTTAATGGGATTTTCCAACTTACGGCTTTAAGGTATAGATTAAGCTCATTAAATGATTATATCTCTAATTAATTTACATAGGTTTTCATACTAGATTCATACTTTTTTTAGTGCCAAATATACCCTTGTTTAGAGTACCAAAAAAAACTTCAATTTTATTAATTTCTCTCTCCTCTTGAATCCCAAACGGCCAAACCCTAGATTCAAATAGAGATTAAATGCCAAATTTAGTCCCTAATTTTTTAAATTTTGAACAATTTTAGTCCTCAAATTATTTTTTACATTTTTTGTCTCTTAACTAAAAAAAAAAAACTTTTTTTTTCCTTATTTGGTTATTTTGTCATTCAGGTCTATCCAACTAACATTTTTAAATTTGCTTTAATGACCTACATGCACATAAAACAAAAGTTAAAGAACAAAAATTATACAACAAATATGAATTATGGACCAAAACATGCATAAAACAGAAGTTTAGGAACCAAACAAATGTCACTTGTAGACGCAGTTAAGAGAGCAAAAAAAAAGTACATTTTTTTATAGTCGAGGTACATAAAAATACAAAAAGCAGTTAGAAGACTAAGGGTCTGTTTGGTACAGTGGTTAAAATTTAGCGAATAGTGGATATCAAGTAGTGGATAGCAAATATCGATATTGGGCAACGGGTGACGGTTAGCGGATAACGGATGGTGGATGGCAGATGGCGGATAACGAAAAGTGTGTAGCGAATGATAAATAACAGATTCGATAAATATAATTATTTAGTTATACAATAGTTAACAATTATTGTTTAACATTAAATGATTAATAAGGACATGTTTAAAAACAAATAAATATATTTTTCAAAATAT